TTTGCAGTAACATGCTTGAGAGGTTCTCCCTGCATTCCCTATAGGAGCGGCAGCTCGGATCTCCGTAAGCTGACGAGGAGAACAAAGCTGCAGTGTCCCCTACGCGCGGCGCGGATCCCACATAAGCTGTGCTAACGTTGCAATCAATTTGTTAAAACACGTTCTGATTACTGAAGGGCAAAAAAAAAAAAAACCCCTCAGCAAAGATTAGATGTGAATAATCACAGAAAAATGCTCCTTTTCATACGGCACGACCTTGCACGACCACCGTGACGCAGTGCAGCTCGGCTCTCCGATGGGAACCACGCAGACACACAGCAGCTCTGGGTCCCTTTGGCCACAGCTCTGTGAGCACCAATGCTGCCATCACGACCCGTCCGACCAGTCCGGGGATGGGCGCCTCGCACCCACAGACTGGTGCCAGATAAATGCTGGAGATAGAGGGTGGGGAGTCTCAGCCTGCTGGAATCCCAAGCATGCACTGCAGGACCCAAGGAGGGCGAACGCTCTGCTCCCCTCGGCCATGTTGGGCTGCACTGCGCAGCTGGGGCTCATCCACGCTTCCCTGCTCTTCCTCCCTCCTCTCTTTGATACCCAAACAGAGCAGACCTGGTGCAGCACACTGAGATGAGAGCCGAGCACGCAGCAGCTCCACGCTTTACCTCCACGCTTGCTAATTAGCTCCTCCACTAGGAATTAAAATAAACAAACACACGGAAGGACAGCAAGAAGGAATTATTCCCCAGGATCACACAGGAAAGGGTGGAAGGCTTCCGTGGTCAGGGCTCTAGTCTGCAACTCCAGAGAGCCACGTTTGGGCTCTTGAAAAAATTAAGACGGATTGCACGCGTATTTTTTTTGTCCAAGATCACAGATCTCAGAATAGTGCTGAACAAGGAGGAATAGGCCACGCAGGCCTCTGCCTCACGGAGGTGGCACAGAGCCCCCAGGTCTGCCCCACTGAGCCCCCACACCATGGCACTGCTACAGAGCAAAGCCTCAGGGCCGCCTCTCTGGGCACGGCTGCCTGCACGCCTATGGGAGCACACTGCAAGCAGGCAGTCTGCACTGTGGCTGGAGAATGGGCACTGTGAGCTGCAGCCAGCAGCCCAGCAGAGCCTGGGGGGGGGGGGGGACACCTCCCTCGAGCAGCACAGCAGGAGGGGGAAAGTGGAGGATCTGCTGGGTGAGTGGAGAAGAAAGGGCTGCATTGCAAAGGTTTGGAGTGCTGGGCACAAAATGGAGCACGGGAGCCCCGGTTTTGGGCCAGGAACTTCAGCAAGGAGCAGAAGAAATGTCACCCTGCAATCCAGTGCCCACAGGAGAGGCCTCCCCAGAGGCACTGAGTTTTCCCCATCAGAGCAGCTGCTGCTGCCCACATCCCTCCCCACAAGCAGCTCGTGCCGACCGTCCACCACTGGGTCCCATTGGCCCAGGAGCAGCCAAAGCACTGCTCTGCAGGAGCATCTCCAGGGCACCCCAGCCCCATCCTATGGGCAAACCTCACCCGGAGCCCCTCTCCTGCTGATTGACTCACCAGCCACACGCCAACAAGCAACCCCAGCTGGCTTCGCCGAACCTCCCCTGTGAGAGCTGCTCTTTGCTTGGAACAAAACAAAATATTCATTTAGAAACATCTAATTAAGCAGTAAGTCATGACAAGGTATATGAAACTCGGAGATAACACGTGCCTGGGAGGCACCGGGAAGGCTGAGACAAAGCCCAGCACCTCCACCAGCACCTCCGCGTGTTATCTCACATGAACACACACCTGGGTTTATCCCGGCGCAATTACAGGACATTAAAAATATAATGTTAATGGAGGAACGGCGATCTGGACGCAGTTCAGAGCGAAAAACTTTCTTTCAAGTTTTTGCTGTTTGATAGGAGGTGTTCCTGCATGCGCCGCGTCTTGGAGGTGGGAGCGGAGCTGAGCGCGCAGCCCGGCCCTGCAGCCTCACAGCACCGCGTCCCACCCGCAGCTGCTGCAGCCCGGAGAGCAACAAGTCCTCGCAGCCCCAGGTGTTTTATAGGGTGACCTCATTCACTGCCTTCCCCCATCGCAGGAAATGATGTTTATCTCATCTGCTGCCAGCGGCAGAGCGCTTTTCTGCCGCCGCGTCTGGCGCGGTGCTCGGCCACGGATGGAGCTGAGAGCGGCGGCTCTGCTCCCACCAGACCAAACAGGGGGAAAGGCCTTGCAGCCTCGCAGCCCTCCGTGCTCCCGAGCGCTGACAGCCCCTGCCCCGTCCTGCCCAGCTCCGCATTCCTGCACCGCTGCTGCGGGGCGGCCGAAAACCTTCCTGTGGAAATCCCTGCTGCTCACAGACACGAAGCAGAGCCGAGCAGCCAAAGCCTTCTGCTCATAGGGACCCCCCGCGGCTCCCCTCAACCCCACAGGCAGCACCGTGTTGGGAAGAGGGATTTCTTGTTCTCCTTCTGAATAAAAAGGCTCCACCAAAAGCTTTCTGCTGAGCCCGAGAGAACGGTGAGGCCATAAAACTCCTCCTTATTTTACGACCAAGCTGAAGGGTTGGGTTTTTTTGTGGTTTTGGGTTTTGTTTTAGGTTTGTTTTTTGTTTTGCTAAGAAATGCAACGACAGAATGCTGGGGTCCATTGCTGGAAGATGCCACCCTGCTGCACGCAGATGGAGCCACGGACAGAACTTTTTCAGAGCTCACAATAATGTTTTTACATCCATTATATTCCCGGTCTTACAGAAACGCTTAGGGGGGAGAAAAAGCAAAAAAACAAAAACAAAAACAAAAACCAAATCGACCCAAAAGCACCGTTTAAAAAAAAACAACAAAAAAAAAAGACACCGGAAAAACAAAAAACCAAAAAACCATTTCTGCACTGCTTATTAAAAAAAAGAGAGAGAGAACAAACAAACGGATCCAGAACAGGCAGCCAGAAAACCGGCGCTGCCCCACGCAGGGCTTTGCTCACGTAACCCTCCGGAGCGATGCAGCCCCTGTGTGCGGTGGGGGGGATCCCCGCTGCCCCCCCCCCTCCGCTCTCGCTGTCCCCTTTCATGCAGCAAAACGGCCCCGAGCGCAGCGCTCAGCTCGCAGTCCCGTAAAAAATCCCTGCTGAGAGCCGCCGAAGCCGTTTATTTAAGCGGGGGGGGACACGAAATGCAGAGCCGCAAATATCGGAGCGCGTTTCTCCCCGTCCCGCACCGCTCCCCGCAGCCGCTGTGCGTTCGCTGCCCCCCACGGCGGAGCTGAGGTCGCTTTGGGGCAGCGATCGGGCTTTGGTTGACCCGGGATCGCAGCACGGCGGCGGCTCACGAAGGGCAGACGCGGGCTCAGGGCCGCACGCGTTTCCATCGGGGTTCCGTCCGACGGCCGCACCGCGAGGAATTGGGGCATTGATGCCCCCAGTGCGGTGTTGGGGATTTAGGACCGAATTTCTTCCGCTTCCCACGGAGATATTTGCTCCCCCACCCGTCCACCCCCCCCGTCCGCCCCACTGCCGCCCGCACCGCGGATTCTCTGCCACCGCTTTTATTTTTCCGAGGGCGTACGGCAAAAAAAAAGGGGTTTGCTGTTGGGCTCCGGAGGGTCCGGGCCGCGGCTCACAGCAGAGCCGCAAAATAAACCACAATAATATTAAATTAAATTAAATGAGACCACGATGTATCTCAGAACGAACGGAGAGCCGTCAGTTGAGGTCGGAGTCGCCCCGCTGCACCGCGGGCGCTCATTGCGCGGCTGTTCCCGCAAACGCTTCGAGCCGCAGGGGAGCCCCCGACCCACAAAGAGTTCGCATCTTTCTTCCAAACACGGCGGAAAAATAAAGAAAGAACGGATGGGAAGAGACGCGGCGCCCCAGGCACAGAGCAGCGCGCCGTGAGACCTTTTATATCCGAACGGAGCAACCGAAGGATCTCCGGGTCCAAACGCGGCACCGAGCAATAATTCCTCCCGACGGCAAACGAAGATTTGGGGGTAGGCGCCCGTTTTGGAAAAGGGAGGAAAACAAAACGTAGCAAAACAAACCACGCATATGCACAAAAATCAATGAAAACGAGCGCTGGTTTCAGCCGAACTCCGCGCAAACGCCGTCCCTGAGAGCATCTTCCAGAAGCGCCCCGATGCCGCCCGCACACACAAAAGGGAAGGCGCGGAGCGGAGCGCACACCGCGACCATTTCACGCAACGCCTCACGCGTGTTCCAATTAGAGCTCCAATAATGACGGTCCATTCGTGCTCCGCGTGTCACGAATTCGCTGAACTCCCATTTACACGGAACGGGGGGCAGGGAAGAGATCCGGGAGCGCCGCGCCGCATCGCGCAGGGCCGGGGCTCCCCACTTGCACCGCTCCTCCGGCCCCCGCAGCCCCCGCGCGGTGTCGATCCCACATCTTTCGTTTGCTGTCCGGGCCGCCACCCGCACGCTGTGCTCCTTTCCCTCTCCCCGCTGCTGTTAAAAACGCCGACAGCAGCGCCCGGTTGCTCCGTGCGGCTCTCACCCCGTGCGGCACAGCGGTCCCCCGTGCTCCTCTCGCTCCCAACACTGCCCCGACGATGTTTTAATGAGAAAAACCATTTTACGGAGTGGAACTATTGCCGTGTTTGGAAGGAAAGGGTCGGCAAAAATCGGCAGCAAAATCGTGCAGGAGGCGGCTCACCCCCACTCGGAACCGCCTCGGCCCCGTTCAATGCGTCCTCCCCGCTCCCGGCGAGCTGCGGGACCGCGGCTGCACCCCCAGCATCGCTCCGGTCCCACCGGGGCTCCCACCGCGAACCACCCGCGGCCGTCGGGGCTCTCCAGTAGCCGTGTGTGCTCGGCCCTCCGGGATCCGTCGCGTTCGTTTCACCGCCGGGTGTAGCAGCGACCTCCGAGCAGCACCGGAGCCGGAACACCGCGCCGGTTCCTCGCCCCAGTTATCCCCCTTCCCGAGTCGCGCTGTGCCGGCCGTCGCGGGGGACCCGACGGAAGGGAGCCCCGAGGGCAGGAGCCGGGCCTGGCGCCGCGTCCCGCGGGTTCTTACCTTTCTTGATGACGGACTGATCGAGCAGGTTCATCCCGCCGTCGTCCGCCGCCTGGAAGCACCAAAGCAAAAGCCGTCAGCGGGGGCTCCCGGCGCGGCTCCCGGCTGCTGGGCGCGGGGCGACCGCGAGGCCGCGGTGCGATGAAACCGTTCGGCTACGGCCGAGCCCCGGCACGGCGGCCCCGGGGGAAGGAGCGGAGCGTCGGCCCGGCTTCTCGGCGGCAGCTCGCTGCGCGCTCCCTGCCGGTAGCGGGGCAGGACGCTCCTCGCCCGGAGGTCCGAGCGCCCCGGGGTCCCACTCTGCCCGCAGGGTCGCTCTCAGCACCAGAGCCGGATCCGGCCGCGTTCCCCCGCGCCCACCCCCGTCCTCCCCCCGAGCCCCCGCTACCTGGATCTCCTCGAGGCCGTGGTGCCCGAGGCCGTGCAGGCCCAGCGGGCCGTCGGGGAGGCCGTGCCCGCCGTCGGGCAGCCCGTGGAGCAGGCGGGGCACGGCGGGGTACTCGCGGCGGGGGTCGAGTCCCAGAGCGCGGTGCGTCTGCGAGAGCAGCCCGGCGTCGTCCTGCCGGGAGCGCTGCGGGGGCCAGGCGGGCTGCTGGTGCTGGTGCAGCGGGCTGAGCGCCGCGTACGGGTCGGCCAGGTGCGGGTAAGCGGGCTCCTGGCCCTGCGGGTAGGGCAGCGGCGGCTGCGGGTATGGCGGGGGGAAGTAGGGCGGCTGGAAGTCGGCGGCGGGCGTGTGGCAGAGCGGCGGAGCCGAGCCGTAGGGCGTCTGGTTGAGAGCGGGCAGCTGCGGCAGGCGGGCCCCGGCCGACGCCCCGGGCAGCCCCTCGGCGCGGTCCTGCGGCGGCGGAGACAGCGGCGGTGAGAGGAGAGCGGAGCCCCGGTCCCGGATCCCACGTCCCGGCCCCGACCCCGGCCCGACCCCCGGCCCGGCCCGGCGCACACTCACCATGCCCGGGTAGCTGTGCACCAGCATCTGTGCGGGCCCACGGCGAGCCCCGGGCGGGCCGGGCCCCGGGGGTGCCCCCGTCTCCGCCCCTCTATCCCGCCGGAGCGGCGTCTCCCATCGCCCGCCCGCTCCTCTGCGCCGGCCCCGACTCCATGCACTCCAGTTATAGTGGCGGGGGCGCGCCCGCCGCGCCGGGGGCGCGCGTCAGTGCGCGGGGCCGGGAACGCGCCGCCCGCTCCCGCGGGGCCCCGACGACTCCCGACGGGCGGAGGGGGAGAAGGGCGGCCGGGGCCTCTCCGACGCCGTCGGACGGCCGCGCGGCTCCGCTGTCCCACGGGCACGCGCCGCTCCCGCGTCACCCCCCCGGGGCTCCCCCCGACGTCAGCACCCACCGCCCCGGGTCACGTTCCCCGAGAGCCCCGAGGGGAGAACCCCGAGGGCCGGGAGGTGGCGGGTGCGGGGAGCGGCGGGGCCCGACGGTTTCGCTTTATTAACCCGAGCGGAGTGTCGGAGCCGCCGGCGGCAGCCCGGAATCCTCTGCCCGACGGCGGCGGCCGGAGCAGTGCCCGGGGCAGGGACAGAGCCCGGGGATCCCCCCGGGGCGCTCCTCACTTCTGCCCGACGGGCACCGGAGAGAGAACGAGAGGGAGAGAGGAACGTGCGGCGCTACGGGACCGACTGCTGCCCGAGGGGACGGGCGGGACGGAGGGCGCTGCGGAGCGACAGAGCGAGGGGAAAGCGGAGAGCGGGCGGCGTCGTGCGCTCCTCGCTCGGCCCAGCGGCCCTCCCTTCTGTCCTCCATGCGTCCCTCCTCCTCTCCATCCCTCCCTCCTCTCTGCGCCCTCCCTTCGGGTCGCAGCGTGGCAGCGCCGTGTCCCTGCGCGTGGCACGGGGCTCCGGCTCTGAGGTGCCGGGGGTTTTCTCGGCACCGCGCTGCCCCACACCGATGCTCACACGCATGCAGACACTGATGCACACCGACCCACATCGGCACGTTTGCACGCTCGCCCTGGCGCTCCTGCACACGCAGCCGCACGCACGCATGCAGGTTCCGCGGTCCCGCATCCTCACCGTGCCGGGACCGCGCTGCCCATCGCCGTGCCGGAGTTCCAACTCGTGGCAGAGCGTAATTTGTGTGCGAGCAGAGAACAAACACTTTACCCTAAACTGTAATACACTGTGATGTGTGATAGACGTTAACAAACACAATCCCACATTACATTTAATTTAATTCCGCTCTTCCTGCCCCGAGCTACGGCTCCCTTCATTTTCATTTTTCCTCTGAATTCCCACATCTCAGACCTCTTTGATTTCCAGGTTTAATTAACAATGCTCATTAAAAGAATTTTTATTCATTTCTTTCAATATTACCCCGCCACCTGTCTTTAGGAGGCAAAGACTCATCATTTATTCTAATTTATTTCTGTTAAAGATGGCATTTAGGAGAGGGAGGAGGGGTATGAGGAGGTAAAGGGCCGATGTGCTCACATCTTTCCTTCCCCCCTCTACCCCCCTGATGCTTTTCAAGGACGTTGCTCCTGAAAGTCCCGTGTTTATTTTCCACCAGATCCGTTTCATTTGCTGAGAAAAATCAGATTGGACATGCTGTATTTCGCAGCGATGTTCCAGTTCATTCTTAGAGTCCCTCAATAATGCCCACTCTTTATTCATCTGGAAGAGGTGAACCTGCGGAATGCGGCGAGTGGGGAAGTTGTGCTTCCATCCTCGAATGGGAACGTGCAGCACTGGGCAGACCCTCACTGCCCCCATCCCCTCCTGCAGCACGAGGCTCCTGCAGTGCCAGAGAGCAGCCTTAGGAAAGTCCTCATCTGCTTGCCAGTGCTCTTGGGATGACACGAAGACACGGTGAGGTAAAACACGCCGAGGTAGGGCTTGCAATGGAATGGTGACATTTTAGCTGTGGCGGATGTGCCTCTGCTCCTTTGGGGCCTTTTGCATGTTGCCCAAGCTGTGGGAAGGGATTGGTTCCTGCAGAGCTCGCCCCGGTGTTGCAGATGGGCTGGTAGACAACGCGCTGCTTGCTGCCTGCCCCAGGTCCTGCAGTCCTGCTCTGTGAGGGGCACAGCAGCTCCTGGCAGCAGCACCCATAGCTGGGCTGGCAGAGCTCAGTGCAGCTCACCTTCAGAGCTCCAGCCCAGCTGCAGCCCATGTTTTGCACCACGAGCAGAGCTGGCAGACCTGCAGGTGGACACAGCCCTGGGTGGCAGAGCCCCACGGCATGAGGCCATGTGCTGCTCCTGAGCTGTGCTGCTCTGCCAGAGCCTGGGGGGGTCAGCCTGGAGATAGAGGTGGTCAGTCTGGGCAGGGGGCCAGCCCAGAGGGGGCTCTGGCTGAGCAGAGGGTTGTTTCATCCTCACCCTGTCCTCTGCTGGCCTTCAGGAAGGCATTTCATGGCACAGAAAAGAAAATGATGCATTGTGTCCCGAGCATCCCTGAGCGGGTCCAGCTCTGGATGGTCCTCACACCATGGGCTGCTGTGCTGAATTTGGGACTAAAGCAGCTCAAACCTGCTGCCCAGCACTTGGAGGATTTCTGGGGCTCTGGGTTTGCTGCCAGGGAGCACAGCTGGGTGTTAGCAGGCAGTTTGCTTGGGCACTGAAGGCGACAGGGAAGGACCTGAGGTGTGGGACTGCTCTGGTGCTGGATGGGGCCAGGTCAATGTGGGGCTAATGCTGTCAGCCCAGCATTACACAAACATCCCTGAGCTGGGGGCACTGGGGAGCTCCCACCTGCTGATACAGCCACCTATCTCTCATTAATGCTAACGATAGCCTTTGATTAGCAAGCCCACAGCCTTTGGTTGGAAGCATTGCGTTGTGTGGGATTGAGAAGAGCTGAGGTTAAAGCATCTGATGGGTTGGATTGTGATGATTATTTTATTCCTGACGATTCTGAGACGTGTTTCTATCGCCCTGCGCTGCAGGATGAGCTGCTCCTGGCAGGATGGGAGGCCTGCAGCCCACGCACACCAGGTTTGCTCTTTTCCCACTCCAGCACTCTCATTTGCTTGCTTGGCTTGCTCTGCTTGCTGGTAGCACCTACCTTTGTTTCAACTTGCATTAACGTTTCAGGGCTGAGCTGGTGAGATCAGGAAGATACTGATCAACAGCAGATGCCTCCTCTCTGCTTATGTAAGGCGCTGGTGTTGATGAATTTGAGCTGGATATGTGCATTAAGCTGGGCTCCCTGTAGTCAGCCCTCCTTTCGGGGCAGCTCCCCGCCTGTTTTTCTCTCCATCGTCCCATCCCGCAGCCCCCAACCATGCAGGGCAGCAGGATCCGTGCCGCGTCCGGCTGCCAGCCGGGCTGCCTCTCCCACAGAGCTCCTATGCTGACACCTGGTGGAAATGCCTCGAAACGCGCTGGCGGAGCTGCGGGCTTGGTGAAGCCATCCTCGGCTCGTCCAGCTCCTGCTCTGCCCCAGCCAGGCGGCTGCCTCTGCTTCCAGGGCACCCTGACAAAGCCCTGATGGTTTACTCCTCCACAGTACAGGTGCGTGTGCTTTTACACCTGGGTTCCTTCTGCCGTAAATCAAACGGTAATTCTCCATCTGCTGAGATGCTGAGGTGTAGTTTGCTTGATTTTGTTTTCATAGCATTTACCCGAGGCTCTAAAAAGAAGGAAGGGCTTTGCAGGCTGAACGACCCCTCTTCCCTGCAAGAGCAGGAAGCAACCCTTGCACATCCATCCCTGCAGCAAAGAGTGCAAGCAAACACCACAAAGCCTTGTGCAGCTGTTACAGGGTGAATTTGGGACGATGGCACTATTGCGGATGTGAACACAAGGGCCTTTCTGCACCCCCCCACACATCTAGAAAGGGACAGATTGCTGCTGAATTTCATAGTTATCCTTGCTGTTACTGTTAAAACTTCAAGCTCTTCCCGCTGCTGCTTTTTTTGCAGTCTTCTACCCGTTGTGCAAAACCACTTCAGTGACACGCAGGGCTTTTGCAGAAAGTAAGGTGACATCCTGAAGGGGTGCCGAAATTGGGAAGTGTGTTAGAGAAAGAGGAAACCTCTCAGGGCCTTGGGCAGAAATCCCAGTGTTGCATGTTTGGAAAAGGAACAGAAAACCTCTTTAATAGTCAAATGATCTGGTTTTAAAACAAAATGCTGACAGAAGATAAATGAGGTACATCTGGAAATGTTCTGGAGCAGCAATAGTTGTGTGTGTTGGGTTCTGGACAGAGAAAATCCTGCAGAGCTCTGCTGCATTGCTGACTTTATGAAGTTGGTCACTGAAATGTTTCTTGTCCTCAGTGGCACCAAAAGGTGCACGAGGAATGCTGCAGGTGTTTCTGGCTTCATGTCCCACACCAGGGCGCTGCTGAAAAACGGCTCTTTATTGCTTGGACAGACACTGTTCCAGAGCTGCCATCCCATAAAGGTTGGCCCACTCCTCCCCATGGTGTGACAGGATCACTTCCCTGCACGGCTCGCTGGCTCTGGCCAGCTCAACCAGCACACCCTGCAAAGCAGCAATGAGCTCAAAATCCACCGAGGCTGCAGTGACGCGTGTCAGTAACTCTGAGAGCTCCTCCAGCCACTGGGCCTGGAGCACAGCTTCTGGCAGCCAGGGGAAGAGAGGCACGCAGCTGGCCAAGGCCTGCATCGCCAGGAACCAGAGCTCACGGATGTCATCCCAGGCACTCACGTAGGCAGGGGATACGGCCAGAGCCAAGCCATGGCTACCAGGGTCTGCTTGGGCCGTGTGAGCCTGGGACAAGAAGCAAACGGTGGCTTTGAAAAACTCCTTTGCAGAGCCAGATTTCTGAAGAACTGAAAGAGAAAGGGAACAAATGAGTTGATAAAATACTTGGCCAAAGGAGGGACCCTTTGGTGGGCTGGCCTGCAGCAGGGCTTTCAGGGAGAGCAGAAGACTGTGCTCCACACTGCTTCCCAGCCATTCAGCCTGCATACTGCTTTCTCCTCTGGGATTCTGGTTTTGTCACACTTCCAATGACAAAAGCTCTGTGTGAAACTGGGGCTGTTCCCCTTACATTCTGGG